AATCTTGTCTTGACTAAAGCTGTGAAACCTAGGCAAGGCAGAGCAGAACATCCAAGACCACCCATTTGTCAGAATTCCTTAAAGCCTACAGGGAGAAGAAGAGTTAATAAAACACATAAAGCTTGTCTCAAAAACATATTTTATGTTGTTATAGATAAATGTGTCCACCAAAGGAAAAGTTTGCACAACAGTTTACGTAGATAATACAATAGAGACAATAAAAAATACTTTAGAGTTGGAGTGTTGAGAATGTGTTATATAAGGACCATCACATCTCTGTTATTAGCTTTTCTCTCGCCCTTTTAAAAAATAATTTTATGTAGCTAAGCTCTACCTCAATTTTTTTGTTTCAAATCCCATTGCTCTCAAGAGTACTGTTCAGCATGAGAAACCACAAAAGTTTCTCTCTAATTTTGAAAACTACTGTGTGAGCTTTCATAGTCAGAGCCAATGGGCTTTTCTTTTTCTCAAATATTAAATGTTATTGGACCCCGGATGCTCAGGATCTTTCTTTAAAAGGCCTTTCCCAAACCTCATTTCAAATTTCACTCCCCAAATGAAGGAAATCATAGGTGTGGCATTGGAATTTTAATTTATTTTTCAGAAAACTGTGTTGAAATGAATTCCCAGAATCACTACATCTTTCATTTCTGAGTACATTTCTAAGGACAAATATGTAAAATTATTACTAAAATAACTACTGTGACCTAGCAGTAATGGTTAATCTGTAAAACGTGTTTTGTGACTTCTTGAACACTTTTGAAAGTAAATAAGTTCTTGTTTTTCATAACAAAATGAGTGGTTTGGTGCAGGCTGATGACTCAGGACAAAATAATGGATTTTGGAATTACTCATTGTGCTGTGTTGCCAGTGTAAATCTGGCTAGGATGCATAATGACTGAAAGCTCTTGCAAAATAAGTGTCTGATCAATATTTTACTTAAAATATATATCTCTGAGGAGATAAAGCCAAGGCATAGATCCTACTGTCATTGGCATACACACTGGCAGTCTCAGAAAAAGTCAGCTTTCTGAATGTTATGAAAAACAAGGGTATGTCTCCAGGTCAAGACTGCAAGACAGATCGTTATTGAAAGCTTGAAGGGCTCTTGCATTTCCATTTGAAGCAGCTGGGGGGGAAATGAACTTTTAAGATGGAATTCGATCAGTTCATGAGAAGAACTGTATAATGTGACTGCATGTGACAGCACTGAAGCAGACAAAGTGACACAGCAAATAGCTCTGCAGTTATCATCCTGAGTGCTATTCCTGTTCTGTGGGTGAAAAAACAAAAAGCACAAAATTGTCAGGATTGTTGAGACAGGACTTTTTCATAAGCTGTACTTCACAGTTATTTTTGCAGCAGCGATTCCTTTATGATGAGGGGAGAGAATGTGAAAAGGCAAATAGTATTCATTCAGTTCAGTCAGTCAAACCCAAACTTCCATGCAAGCTTTTATGCAAACAGCTAAGGGCACTTTACTATCAAATAGCATAAAAGCCAAAAAGAAGTTTAAATGCCAAGTCAAACAAATATGTCTTGCCAAAGACTCAGAATCCTATGAATAAGGACTAAGGAGTTCAGCAAATTTGAAACATAATGCTTTAAATAAGCCTTAGTCTCCAATTATACCTGCCAGTATGCAGAAGAGATAATTAATCGTCTGAGCACTATTGAGAAGTGCATGCCAGAATGTGAAGAATACAAAGGATCTGGACTATCACTGCACAGAGTAAATCCATCTATTTTGGGCTTTTTTCTAGGTGCAGGGTCAGTTGCAGTGGCTAAGTTCAGTGGAGCAGGCACTAGCAGATTGCTGGTTGCTTGCATGTTCTTCTGCAATCTGAAGAAAATTTTTGAAATCCTCAGAATTAAACATATGATGGAAGGACAAAACCAAACCCATTTTTCAGAATGCTTGACAACATTGTTCAGAGATGCTCAAGAGAAGCAGAAAGACAAACCTTGCTGTTTTTGTTTTATGAGTTTCATCTGGCTGAAGCTCCAAGTGTAGTTAAGCAGGTCAGCCTGAGTCATTCAGTTGACTTTAGAAAGTATTGCTTCAGTGCCACAGTATGGAACAACTACATGCCTTGGAGACCTGGAGTTTCAGTTGTCATTGAAGCCAAGAGTTTTCTAAATGCTTACAAGAAATGACAGATTAAAATCACTTACAAAAATGAAGCCCATGAATGCTTTTTGCTACAAGGGGGAATTCAGGATAGATTAATTTTATTTTTTTTTAAGGTATTCTGAAATTGACACTACAAACAAAAATAGGGACTACCTAACAAGACCATGGCACACACAGTGGAGTTACTGATGTGGCAGAAAGCATGGTGCTTTTCAGAGGCAGAATGCTTTGAAATACCTCCTGTTTAAGAAGGGGCAATGCCTTTTAGACTGAAGGCAAATATCCCACATGTACACAATTTTTTTTTCTTTTTTTTTCTTTCTTCTTTTTTTTTTTTTTAAATAAAGGATAATAGAAGTTCTGTAAATGAAAACTTTCTTTTGAAAAGGAGCAATCTAAAATGGAGACAACATATGTAGTTTGAATTTCCGAACCAAACAGAACAGAGGTCCTCCTCAGAAGAAATATAGCGTCTCAAGGGCAGTGTATATTTTGATTGCTTCTTCTTCTGAAAGCTGCAGTTAAGCTAAGGTATATGATAAACTGAGAGAGAAAAGTTTAACAATGTAGCCACAGGAGTCAATAAAAGTTTTCCTCTGCACTAGAAGCAGATCCAGTGCATATACCATGCATGAGTTGAACAAATGAGTCCTAAAATCTTATGCTGGCTGCTCAGAAGATCAAGCACATAAAGGAACATAGTCACATAAGCTGTTTGTGTAAAAAGGCTGTGGGTTACAGGATTAATTTTTTATAGTATATCTCTATACCCTGGATAACCAAGTAAGCCTTAACTTGTGGAATCTTAATAGCCATCTTATTGCTGAAGTCTAAAGGAAACCCAGAGGAAACTTAATAATATTAAAAGTTATTTTAAAGGGAGTTCACATTGGTTTGAAGGATATTTTTCTTCGCACACAATATCCACCATTGTAAATTCAGAGAACCTATATTTAAATTCAGAAAAGCTTCACACACCTTTACAGTTCTCAATATATAAATCTAATAGTATTCTTAAAATGTCCACCAGTAAAGCATTAATATTTTACAGATAAAATTAAAATTCTCAAAGTCATTGGAACGAAAAATGAAGAAAAATAGTAAAAATATTCCCTCTAGAAATGAAGGGAAATGTGGAACTTTGTGGTAAGAAGCTAGCTTGTCCATGTTGTTATGAATAGAGAATAGCGTGTACAGTTTTTCATATCTGACTTGCAACAGAAGATTGGAACATATAGAAATTAATGTTACTGAATTATTTAATAGTAACTCAAACACATGAAAAGAAGAATTAAAAAAACACAAGACTAAAAAGGCATTTAAAATGAAATCAGAAGCTTCAACAAATATATTTTTCCCTTGCAGTCAAAAAAGTAATTATCAAAATTGTTCAGAATATGTTGCCAATTACTCTGCTCCATAACTGCTAACTTTCTCAGTTCTTCTCTTGCCTTTGCTGGGCTCTCTGTCACTGGAAACATCTTAAACCAATTTAAAGTGCTACACCTGAATAAACATGTTGTAAAAGTGTTTATGTATTGAAGTGGGTCAGTTCAAGGTATGGTATTTGGCTGGAACTTCTAATTTCTCTTTTTACTGCAAAAGGGCTGCCAGAAGGAGGAAGTCTGAGCTGAATTAATACATTTGTTACAGTGGAAGTAGAATGGAAACTACTTTAACCACAAATCAAACTGCCTCTTTCATTTACGCCAGTGATAGAGTTTTTTTAAGAAATATAGACTCTGGCGTGCAGCCACTGTAAGTTTGTGTTTGAAAAAGAAACCTATATGCTGATTTCTATAAGGTTTACTCCTATGCTTGTTTTCAAGTTCTTTTTCAGGGTGATTGTGTTAACAGCATTATACATTTGTGAGGCAGATGCTCCTTCGTTGGGCACGTAACAAATTTTCCAGTGGGTTTAGAAGAATCCTGAGGCGCCCCGATGCCGCCCAGTGCACGGTGCCAGTGCCCATACCTTCCCGTTTAAAGGACCTCTGTGTCCCCACCCTGCACAGCTGCACAGCTTCACATGACACTGTCTCATTTTCTGACGCTTGAAGGGCTCTGCATAATACACGTACGCACAAAAGTGTTTATGCTGCCAAAATAAATTCTGTTAAGAGTGAGGGTTTATTTGCTAAAATGTCACTGATGCAGTTTCAGTGACTTGATTTGCTTTCCTTTCTTTCAGTGAGGTTTAGACCACATAATATAGTGAGGTTACCACACAGTCCTGACTGAACAAATATTTTAAAGAAATATGCACATCCCCTGGGAACAGAACCAGAGTGAATAATACACATATTTCAAGCTCTCTTCTCTTGAACAGCTGAATGGCTTCCTACCTTTAGTGGTGAATGAACATCAGTTTGAGTAACACTGGACAATATTTATTTTTAAAGCAGAATTATATTTACTTTCTACACTTCTATTTGCTACTGGTTTGCTTTGGGGATATAAGCTTCCACATCCCACTGAAACTATGCAAAATTAGAAGATCGCATTACATTATCTTTTCTATATAAAATAAGCTTTAGTGGGTTCATTTTTTTTTCAGTGCTATAGATGTATGCATAAGACTGAATTAAAACACTTCTGTAATGAATAAGATATATAGTACACAGAGACTGCAATTTTATGCAATAAGAAATTGTACCTGTAAAAGCTGTTGGAACTTTTGTAAATTGTTGAGCTTTCTGTCTTTTTAATTCTGCTCAACAAAATGTGAATAGGATTCCTAATAATGTAAATTCAGGATTGAAGCAAATTCCTTGCTATTCAGGATTCAGTCAGTAGTTGAACTCCTGCTGTGGCTTTGGGAGGGACACAAGTTCACCTTTTAACTTGCAATTTCCATTGCTTTTAGGTCGAAGTATCAATGTTAAATCTGCTGGCCTGGTTGGAAGACATGGGCCTCAGTCAAAGCAGCCATTCATGGTTGCATTCTTCAAGGCAAGTGAAGTGCTTTTCCGCTCTGTCCGAGCAGCCAACAACAAAAGGAAAAATCAGAACCGCAACAAATCCAGCAGTCAACAGGAGTCCTCTAGGATGCCAAGCATTGGGGGTAAGATGGAGCTATGACTTAGTGTTCTTTTTATAGGAGGTATGGGCACCTGCTCAAACGCAGTGCAGTCACAACAGGCTCAAAAAGGTGCTGCTCACTTGCTGAACTGTCAGAAGCAGTGTTCCCACTCCTCTTTTGTTATGTTGGCCCTGGTGTGACCTACCTTCTGTAAGTCAGATCAGTTACATGTACATTGTGGGCCGCAGGAGGGTGAAATGAACAACTAGTTTAAGAAAGGCTGTGTCTGAGCTTGAACCTAAGCCTACTCAGTATGCAACTGGATGATATCTTTGCTATGCATAAGTGAAAAATAGAGGTAAAGAAAATGATTGCACCCCTACTACTTGTCTAGGAAGCCAAGATGTAACATAAAAATCTCAGTACTGGAAATGAGGAAGCTTAACCAATCTGAAAAATCATAAACTGTTTAGAAGTTCAGACCAGCTGACAAGTAATGATGTAAATATAAAATATATTCCTCTATGGAATGAATTTGGTCCTTACCTGAAAGGTACTGACAATAATGCACATGAAAACGTCCTTAATCTCTTTAGAGCCTGGAGAAATTTTGTTCCATTTTTTCCTGAAACAATCCTTTCAGCTGAAGGCAAAGTCACTTTCTATGTATTCTCACTTTTGAACAAACATTTCTCCTTTTTGGGAAAGCGGTGTGAAAGTGTTTCTTTCTAGAAGCACGACAGATTTAGTAACAGCATATGAAAACCTTAATGTAAGTGCTGCTCTTAAATCCCGTGGATATTTACAAGTAAGCAAATCAGTATTTTGTGGAAGGAATTTAGCCTTGTGGTGGGGGTCACCTAGTTGAGGAGAAGTGTTATTAGCAGCATGCATTACTTATATCTGTCTCAGAATGTTGACAGAGGCAGGCTAGAGACTACTCTAATGCAATACATTTGCATTAATGCATGCATTAATACTTAGCCTTTACCAGATCTTTTGCAGAAGCATAATTTTATGATAACAACAAAAAAATACTGCTGGATTTCTAGAGAAATCAAAGAAATTATTTAAATATTTTTTCATAGTCCCTGGAAAGTCTGCTGATTTTGAGAATCACATTACTTCGGGTGAAGGGTGTGTACCTAAGTATATTGTACACACAAGATACCTAAATATAAATATCACACTTTCACATTGAATCCTATGTGTCTAGTGCATGAAAAAATGAGAATTGAACAGATTTCTTAAGCCTCATTGATTATAGCAGGAAAGACAAACACAAGCTCCTTGCTGGTTTAACCTGGGAGAAAACAAAACCTTATCACCTGCTGGCAAGTTACATTGACATAAGAGTTACCTCAGGGACAGCTGTCTGTAAGCTCAGTTGAAAGCTGTCTTTAAGCCTTGTCTGTGCATCCAGTTGTGCTCCAGACCTGTTGTAAAACAAGACAAATCAGAACATCTCTAGTGAAATGTGCATTATGAAACAAATTATCTCCTAATCTCTTTAAGGTCTACATAAGCACAAAGCACATCACTACATATGTTGATCCATAGCAGATCTCTTTCAAAAGAGATTGCAGTTCAAGAAAACCATGTTGTTAAAACAAGACCAGGTTAAGAAGAAATTGCACATGCAATTGCATTAAAATCAGAGGCACTGACCATTGCCTGGTGAGGGAGGCAGCAGGATACAGGCAGGCTGGAAAAGATGGCAAAGTTGAAGGTATGTAAGTGACCACAGCTTCACATAGCAGGATCCTCCGTGGCAAAACTGCTTGGAGGTGTAGCTCCTGCACCGTGGCAATCCACATTCCATGCTCCTGCCCTGCAATTTACCTCAGCAATGGCCATGTCCCAAATAAATAAACTTTTTCATTTGAGTGTCATTAATGATCGTTCACTGGACTTTTCCTACCATGGGTGATCCAGAACACTTTTAATAACTACTCCAACAGTCATGAAATACTGTGGATGACCACGCTGAAGGCTACAAAGGCAATGCACGGATTCTATCCAGATGTCACCATGTGTGAAAAAGACACAGAGAGCAGAACATGTTCTTATTTCTCTGATCTCTGAGTCTTTTCAGAATATAGTCCCTCCATGTAGAGAGCCTGCTATTACAGAGAAGCTATGCTCTTTTCTTCTCATTTCCAGCCCCAGGATCTCAGGGATATACTGCATCCCTTTAGGTTTGTGAAAAAGGCTGATTGTCCAAGTTCTCTACAGCTTCAATAATGAGCAAAACTTCAAAAGTATAATTCACATATTCATATTTAAACACAAAAGTTTTTGGGAAAACAACCGAAGAATTTTGCCCATCATCTTTCTCGTGGAAGAATGTCAATAAACTATATTCAATTCTCATTCACTCCTTGATGCAAGCGCTTGACACAGTGACGGGCAAAGATAGTTGTGTGATTTAGGTCTTCTGTTTCTAAGATTCTTCCATAATCTTGTAGCTACAGCATCTAAGCCAGACACTGACAGTGAAAAATGCTCACTTACATAGCCAGAGGTAATGTAGCCAGACCCAGATAGGTATGTTGTCATTCATGTATGACAGACTTTTGGTATTTCTCTCTCTATACATTTAACACAATCATGTCTTCACTTCCTTCTTCCTCTTTCTTCATTTTCTCCTTCTTTTTTCCCCTTTTCTTTTTTCTTTCTCTTTTTTTCCCTCCTGTTTCCCTTTGCTCTTGCCTGTTGTCATCTTTCTTTTGCCTCTTGCCTTTTGTATTTTGCCTTCTTCTTTTTCCCTTCTTATTTTTTAAGTCCTTGGATTTCAGCAATTAGCTTTACTGTGTTCTCAGCATGTCAAAAGGAAAATTCCACTGGACAGATCAGCTCTTCCAAAGGAAAAGAAATTTTTAAAATTATTCATGAAGTTTCACGAGATCATAGAATGGTTTAGGTTGGAGGTGACCTGGTCAAGTGGAAACTGAGGGGAGTCCCTGCCCCTGGCAGGGGAATTGGAAGTAGATGATCTTTAAGGTCACTTCCAACTTTCTGTGATTCTGTCATATAGACTATCACAATATGAAGAAAATAAAATCTTATGTGTCAATTATTATAACACCTGGGAAATTGTTGACAGAGTTGGGGTCATCATCCCTGTGTTGCTAAGAAATTCAAGAGAAGATGATGTCAATGAAAGAGACAGACAGAATAAAGCTTAGTATTCAGGCTCTACCTGCCTGCTGTGCACAGAGGATTAAACCCTTCTTTATTTACTCAGTTTTATTTTTGTCAAACTGTAGATAGAAGAAAAAATAATTAAAGCCCCCAAACCAAACCAAAACCAGGCAAGTTGTTTACAAAGTATGTCATATAACTCTCCCCTAAAAAATACCTGGCTTAATTTTAAGTTTTTTAGCATTGTCTAAAAAGAATTACAATATAACTGGACACTAGAAAATATCTACATTTAAATACTGAATGGTGACTTACACCAGGAAACTAAAAAACAAACTTACAAAATTTTTGTTCTTATGGAGATAAAACCAGAAAACAATACTTAAGGCTATGTTTTCTGTATGCTATTGGTTGATGTTACACTAACTGATTCAAAATAAAGTATATTGTAATAGTATGTATAAACACATTTTTATGTCTTTATTTCCCCTGGGAAAAAAAAACCAAAAAAACCTCATGAAATTTCTTATATATATATTTTATTGACCTACTTCCACAGCTCTTTCTGTAGGGGTTTAGATTCCCACTGCAGTCCCTGAATAGCTGAGGAACAATGTTTTCTCAATCACAATAGCCTATGGTTTTGATTCTTGACAGAATAAGCATGTGGGCCTTGAAGCTACAATGTGTGAAATTGAATCCTTTGCACCAGATCTTATTTTAAATGTCACATTTAATACTTACATAAAACATTATATTAGATACAACATTTGTCTTACATGAAAGATAGAATTCAAGGAAGGAATTCAGACTTTCCTGAGTCTCACTTTCCTTGTAGGTGAATGGGGTAGGTGGCTTACAGTCTGTACATGCTGGCCATTTTATCAGGTGTTCTGGTGTGACCACACATCATTTGAACCTATATTCAAATGAGTCAGAATATCACAACAATGATGATATCTGTGCAATGACTTACATATGTATTATTCAGATTTTTGCCTTTAACTGTTCCTGGCCCTAAAACTTCTGCACATGTTCTTGAATATGAAAATGTCACTGCAGAGAAAGCTGGCAACAACGCTATCTCCATCTTTTGTTTGCTTACTTGCTTGGGTGCTATTAAAAACCATATCATGACTTTCCTGACTTTTTCATGTGCATATTTCCACATTTTTCAGTCAGTTTTTTGCAAAGTGACTAGTATTCTATGAATTTTAAATTCCCTCTAATACCTGAGACAGAAAAGCTCAATATTCGCCACCTATTAATACTGACATTAGTGAAAATGAATGTATAGATCCTTGTGAAGAGTGATCAGTGAACCATTTTTTAAAAATTTCTTTACTTTCAACTACCTTCACTGCACTTCTGGAGTGTGTGCAAAACCCATTAGATTATTATAGACAAGTCAGGACAAGCACAACTCAAGCACCCAGGGATTTTGGTTGTATTAAAGGCATATAGATTTTTAAAAAATTGTGATGTCTTAGGGCATCCTGCCTTGCTTCCAGTTACTACTCCAATAAACCAGAGATATCCCATGAGATGTGGGTGTATATTTTGATCCTGCATGCCGTGGGACAACTGAGAGTATCTGAGATGGCTACACATAACCAGCTATATGTGAAGATCCTTTAATGACCGTCTTTGAAGGGTTAGGAACACACCACAGGAAAGAACACAGTGTTTGCCTTTAAAAACCAGGATGATTTGAGGCATCATAGCTTAGAAAGCCTAGCGTAACATCCCTGATGCTTATTTAGTATTGGAAATGGACATATCATTACTTGTGGACAGCTTTTGACACAGTTTTGGGAGTCATATTGGACCCATGTGTATTCAATAGAAAGAAGGTACACAGATTGTTGAAAAAATAAAGAAAAAGCCTATTCAAAGAGCATGTTACCAATGAGAGAAAAAATTGTCTATGTATTTTGAATGACACCTTGTTGAGTCTCTTCTGGATCTGGTTCAGTCCAATCTTTTATTGGTAGCTTGGATGATGGAGCTCTCCTCCCAGATCTCATATCCTCTGTGAACTTGCAGAGAACACATTCTGTTCTATTGTCCAAGCTGACTAGCTCTATAAACCAACCTTGGGGCCTAATGTGATGAAGGCATGACCCTGTTCCCATCCTTTCCTGTTACTAAGGAGCAGTAAGGAACAAGTACTAGAATTTCTCCAGGAGTAAGGTTGTCTTGGAGAAGCATGTATAGAAGGTGCTTGGTGTCCTTTTATCCTGATACACCTCTGCCAGAGAGCTTTCAGTTCTTTAAAAATCACCTGTCAGTCTACTAGTATAGTATTAGCAACTAAGGATCGTCAAGTCATGAATATTTCTAGAATATGTGGTAAAAATTAAGAAGTATAATATGTGCCACTATGTGTTTAACTAAGAGATTTTTGGCCCTTGTTTCAGGACATTTTTTATTGCTGCTAATTCATCTTTTGAATTGGGCTACTTTCTTTACCTGGCAATTAAGCCATGCCAACCTACAGACAATTTCCCCATATTTTGGATCAGGCTCTCTCACTTGTCCTCTTTGATTACCTGTGTGGATATTTTCAGATGTGTTACCCAGCTAGCCAGCAAATAGACATCTTGTAAACCTGTTTCCCCTAATGCTGTATGCATTATTTTGCCAGTGTACAGAGATTGTGTCAGTCTGACTGTACTGATTCTTTATTTCCAGGTTTACATTGCCTTTACAACTAACCCTAGGAATATAAATGACAATACGGTTTTATTTTCCTTTGTACAGGTTGGTAAGGATCTCAAAAACAGCTAAAGCTTGTCAGTCCTAGCAATGCTTCCAAATAATTTATTAATGTTATTTACTTCCTGTAGATTATAACACAAGTGAGCAAAAACAAGCTTGTAAGAAACATGAACTTTATGTGAGTTTCCGAGACTTAGGATGGCAGGTAAGATTATAAATTCTTTACTCTTTCCTAACAGTTCAAACTCTGACAATTGATTTTCAAGTCCCCCATTATTTACACTCTGTTTTCTTTAGGGAAATTGATATTCCAATGATGAGAGACAAATTCTTTAAATGCATTTTGTAACAAATCGTTATCAGTATTTCTATCACTATGACTTTACCTTTTTTAGCTCTTCTCTCACAAATATTGCATACATTAGCAGCTTTATTATTTGGATTCATTCACATAAAGATACATTTAAACTACTGCTCAAGAGAGAAGTGACTATGCAGTAAATAAAACCAAAATCCCCACACCAAGTACTGAAACATTTTAAATTTTCACTAGTTCAGATTTAAACCTCCATTGTTCAGTGCTGTCTGCTGCAGGTCAGAGATTTCACTGGGGTAGGGTCCTTTGGGAAATAAATCTTGGATCACTGCTCAGTGATCTTTATGATACCATAGCTAATTTCATATAATTTCTGAGGAAAACTCATCCTGCCACACAGTAACAAAAATATAATGTACTTGCAGTAAAAGGTCATGAAGTCAGAGGCAGGGCAAAGAAAATAGAGAATATGGGAAAAGAAAATAGAAACCAGTCTATGGTTTTTTCCCAGAAAGCAAGGAAATATCTATAAACAAAGAACAAAAAGGTCTTCAGCAATCTATAACTATTGCATATGTAGCTAAGAACTCAGGGATAGTTGTCTGTGCATTTCACAGTTCTCTGAATTATTTTAAAACAACCCTCCAGGAGCGGAACAAGTCTATGAGGAGAAAAATTATGCTATCTCTTTAGTGACAGCTCATCCTTTATGTATCTAACTCAGATTCTCACATGGCCTCATTATCCTGCCTGACATTTTGTAGTATATTTATCCCCACAGCAGCCTGAAGAAGTAGGCAGAGGCTGTTTTCCCAAGTCTGCAAAGCATAATTATCCTGTCCAGAGCCACAGAGCAGGCTTGTGGTATTGAACCCAGGCCACTGAAAAAGTGAGCCATTGTCTCTTGATTACTGGGGTTTTTTTTCAGATATCAACAGGGGTTTTTTTTGTTTGTTTGTTTGTTTTTTTATCAGTAAATTCTGATATGCTCCAAGATGTGCTAGGCTCTCAGGTCAGTAGCCATAGTGGCCATGGTAGTCAAAGAAAAAAGAAAATCTATTTTTTTGTACAAAGACTACTGTAAGAATTAAAAGTTTCATCTGGAAAGCCAGAGCTACACTGTACAATATTTGACCAGTGAAACACAGAGTGAAATAGGATACCAAAAAAAAAAAAAAAAATACAAATCCCAAGAAGTAGCTACATGATCCTCTCTGCCCTTCCTGCAGCACCTTCATTACCTGCCAGAGGAGGAACTCAGCAAACTAAACACAGAGCTTTCATTAACATTTTTAAATATTTTCCTTCTTGTGGTCTTTTGTCCATGCTGTGTTGCTCAAAATACTGAAAATATATGATTCATTGACATGCCAACAGGTAATCACTAGCAATGCTCAGTCTCACACAATAATACAGTTAATACTATTGAGTATGCTGAAGGAAGAGAATGCATTTTAGCTACTTTTGTTGCACTAAGAAGGGCTCAAGATTTTTAGTCTGGAAGGAAAAGCATTCTGCAAATATATTTTAATCCTTAATCTGCCTTATAGCTTCATTAGTTGGTATTCAGTACAGATATTTAGGTTTAATTAATTTTCATCTCAATTTTGCATGAACAAAGCAAGTACTTTTTTTTTAATAAAACCCCCAAGCATTTCACATGCCACTTTCTGAAGTTCATTTTGTCATTGAGCAAGTCTTAGTTTGATATAATTATAAAATCCCTGAGTGTGAAACTATACTGAGTGGATTTATTTGTTCTTGTTTTAGGACTGGATTATTGCACCAGAGGGCTACGCTGCATTTTACTGTGATGGAGAGTGTTCTTTCCCCCTCAATGCCCACATGAACGCAACAAACCATGCCATTGTTCAGACTCTGGTATGCCTCTGACTGTGCTCTAGCTGCCTATGCTGCGATTCCTTGTGTCTCTGCTCAGAGTTTGCTCTTCTGTTTACTTCTACTACCTCTACTACCTTCTCTTTACCACTACTTAATTTTGACTATTTGTGGGTAAATCATAACTTGTTTCAAAACCTGCTTTAGTGATTTTGTTGGAGAGAGGATGAACTGCTCAGAGTGGCCTGTGTGGTAGGTTTCCCCTCCATTTCAAATGCAATAGCACATGAGAAGAATGTGTTATATTGCTGGAGAATTGTGTAGACAGGAACCAAAGGGGCCCCCCGGTCTGACTTCCAAGAGTTTTTGCAGCTTATTGAAGCTCATTGTTAACATCTACATGTTATACCTTCCAGAAATGATGACACTTGGCCACTCTGTGGACCTCTGTTGTCAACTGTTGGCAGAGATTCTTACGCTGTAATTTAATGGGAAGCTTTGCAAACAGATGCATTTGCATGTAAGAAATTGTGTTCAGTCATGCCTGGCTTACAAATGCAATTTAAAAATAAGTATGTTTGGATCTGTTGCTCTGCCTGGTACATGTAAAAGGGGATTTGCAGCCAGCTTTCTGCCTCTGCTAATTCTTATGTTAGTCCTGTGCCTCAGCTGGAGCAGCCAAAAAGATGATCTTAGTCGAGGCAGCTGGCTAGGCCTCCTCTACCCCAGCAGTGTTCAGCTACAGAAATCATGACCTTCAGACTATGACTAAATTTAATGCTGTGAGGCTAAAGTCTGGTCAGTCTGGTCAAAACCTGATTTTTCACCTGCCAGCTGAAGAGCTGGCTCTGAATAGCACTGGTATTAGCAGAATGATTGAGAAGGAGAGGAATGAAAGATAATACACAAGGAGGGAGTCCCACCACCAAATGAGAACAGGAAAGGATTGTCATCCCCAGTTAGTTTCTGGAAAGTTCAAGGCACTCAACAGAGATCAGAGAAACATGGAATAAGGTTCTGTTTGAGTTAAACTGATAATGGTAAGGTATCCTGACCATCAGATTATGCTGATGTGTCTGTCCAAGGATAATCATGTTTTTCTTTTATTTTCACATTAAAATCTGGGCCTGAAAACCCTTCCTCCCTTGAGAAATGAGTGGAGTTATTACCTGCGATACTGGTCCAAACAGCCCCCTCAAATTTAAACCCCACACCAAAAAAACAACCCAAAACCAAGCAAGCAAACAAACAAAAATAAAATTTGATTTCTTTCTGATAGAAAACAAGTTCTGCTTGTGAAAATTGCCAAGTATTTCTACATGAGAGAGACCTTTTCCCTTCCATTCAATTTTTCACTTACCTTCTCAAAGTCCAGTCATCAATGCAACATTATTCCTCTGTACTAGAATTCCAGTCAGGAAGATTTACAAAAAGAAGGGAAAATGTCAGAGGCTGAAAATAAGTACAAGTGTGTTAAGGAGTTCAGGTGAAAGGGAACAGAAAATGCTAGTTGGCAAGGAATATAGCAGTATTCTTAGAAGGCAATGAAGAACAAGTATATCTGCAGTCCTGAGCTGAAAAGAAGTAGGTCAGCAAAGCACAGTTACTACACACAGTATAGTATTATGCAAACATTGCCCAGAAAATTGCCAATATCACTGAGATCCCCAGGTTAGAGTTCCCTCCTGCAATTGTGGACTGTTAAATAAGAGTTGGCTCAGTGCTACTTTCTCTTGTGTGTCTTTCCAGTGCAAAAATTGTTATTTTCCCATTGTTAAGAAATGTGTGTAGTTTGTCCTTTTTTTTTTTAAATTGGATACTTAATTTTTCCTCTTTTTATGGCCATTTTGGAATTGTGTGTCTCCCTTTGCATGTACTGTACATGCATTCAGTGCAGCCAAAAAATCATGAGGCAAATTAAATTTTAGCTGTACATAAATTAGATGAGATAACAGTAGTTGGATGCTTTCTGGTTTAAATTATACAAAATTCAGATTTACACAAGGTGTGCATATGGGGATGGCTTGGGAAGCAATTATTCATATGCTCCACCCTAATCCAAATGCAGTCACCTCCTGGCCATAGTGATTACACCATTCTAAAAAAGCCTGTTCTTTGGGTTGGGAAGTGATTGTTCCTTGGTACCCCTCCAAACTTTACTGATTCTTTTTTATTTTTCTATTGAAAAATGAATAGGAGAAATACAGGCCAGTGACTCACTCTCTCTCTCATTTTTTTTGCAAGTGAACTCAGGCAAACAGACAATACAGATGCATATAAATAAAAGACAGGGTGCATTTAATGGGCTCTATAAACTTCCTTCTCCTCTCCTGCATCACCCTCAGTACAGGCACAGGGATAGCATTGACTTCCTGGTCATGCAAGGCAATGGATCATCAGATTGGCTTGCACTGAATTTGGGGAAAATATTTGAAAAGGTTGTGAAAGATCACAGGGCCACAGATCTTCCATCAGGGGTGGCAGGGGCTGGTGGGACCCAGGATTTATAGCTGGGCAAATATCTGCCCAGGTCAGGCACAGTTGCTTTTTTCTCCAGTGCTTTGCTATTAATTTGTTAAATAGTTTTTAAATGTGTCTAAACTGTTACAAAACAGCTACTTCACGATTTATTATTGCTCATTTCAAAAGACCTTCTCATGGTAACTGTTATGTAAAAATCGTTTCCTGATACTGTTCTCTGTTGTCTGGCAAAGGCTCTGGGTTTATATCACTGCAAGACAGATGGCTCTAACAGATTTGCAAAGACTTAACATACAAACAAAACCTATTACTGCTGAAGTCTTCATCCATGCCTTAATAATCTCTCTCTCTATTACAACTCCCTCTTCTCTGGCCTCCCCAGTTTCCTAGCCTTCAGCATGTGTAGAATATTACATTCAATCTTCTTTCAAGTACAAAGAACTTGTATTTCCCCCATTTTATTTCCATTAGATCTTGGTTGTTCTGGGACACTTTTCAAAACTTTTTTCTTTCTCTTTAACCTTTCATTGATATATTTCAGCCTGGTGAACATAAAGACTTCTGCGCCTCAGTCCCTGCCCCAAATATTCTGTCCAGCTGGCAACCAACTTAAGAACTGAGTTTTATTCCAGTGGAAGTAGAATTGGATCCACTGATACCTAGATAAGACCTTAAAATGCACTCATACTGTCTGAGACCCCACATCTTACCATTTCATAGGCTGGAAACAGCTTCATTATGAGGCTTTGCCTGCACTACCTTTGCTGTCTGCCATAGATTTTCCTCCACATTGAGCCCCCAACACAGGAAAGCATTTTAGCACATGCTGGGGTCCTGGTGAGACCTGGGGCTTGAGCCTTTGCTTCATGTTATGCCCTGCCCTCAGCAAAGATGGTACAGACAATATGTTTAAATGTTTTTCCTGAGCAGCTGCCTTACTCCAATTCTTTAAATTTCATCTGAAAGGAAACTTCCTGTCTTGGCCGCTTCTCATTTATCTCTCCATCTGCTTTTATTGTATAACTCTGCCCGTGCAATTGAAATCAGAAAAATGTGCTGGAGGTAAGCTGTACTTTAAAGTTGCTAACCGAGGAAAATTTGTGACCACAGCCCTTGCTGAATTGCAAAGACATGTTTTGCACTGACATTGTCCTTGCACCTCTCTGTTTGATATATGAGCTATGTATTTATCTGTCTTTCAGGTTCACTTGATGTTCCCCGATCATGTACCAAAGCCATGCTGTGCACCAACGAAACTGAACGCAATCTCCGTGCTCTACTTTGATGACAGTTCCAATGTTATTCTAAAAAAATACAGGAATATGGTGGTGCGTTCATGTGGCTGCCACTAAAGTAAAAAAAAAATAATCTAAAGCAGAGGGTTTTATTCAAAATTGTAATAAAATCAAGATACGAGCATTGCTGATGAAAAGGCAGGCCTAAATTTATTCCATTTCACGTCGTCTCTTGTTTAATTGTACAGTATAATGTATATAGTAGCTTTTATTTATTTAAAAGTATATAGTTTCTTTTGTATGAGCAAAATTTCAGAACCATTTATTTAATGGGTCACCTCACTATGCAGTAGAAGTTCACAAATTAATTTTTTCAATTGACCATACTGAAATCTGCTTTATCCCATTTCAATATTGTTAAATAAAGTGTTTTTCTATAGAATTTTTTTAAGATAGAAACTCCAGAACTTCTGTAACTGCTTTGTATTGCTAGAGGAACTAAAATGCGTTTGTTCATATTATGCCAATGAAAACTGTGGCAAGGTATTTATTTAGAAAAAGGCACAGGAGGAAAAAAAACCTAAACAAAACTGCTCAGCTAAACATATTTTTTCCTTTAGAAGTTTTGCTCCATTAGGAAAAGTGAAATGTTGAACAGTGCTTAAGATGAAAAAATAGAAGTGAAAAAATTGCACATAATTGTTATAACTATTTTCTTTAACAAGTTGAGTGTAACAGGAGGAGTATGTTAGCTTTTGGCTTAGGAGCTGCAAAATTTGTAGAAGACTCCAGGCTTCAGAAATTCTGTGTAGAGATACTCTTGCCTCTGCCTATGACTTTGCAAGTTAACACTACAAATTGAATGACAGCATTCTTACCTCAAATAATATCACTCTATTATCTATGACACTGCTCTGGCAGATATTTTCATAATAGTGTAAAACAAGCCAAAAATCAAACAAAAAATCCACACAAGCCTTCCCATTACATACAGAAGTTACTATATACACAAAGTATGCAGAATACAGGGTATGGAAGGGCTTTGCTTTATTTAGCTCCCATTTTGGATGTGTTTTATGAGTGCGCAAGGGAAGACACAGGGGGTGCAGCAGTTGTCACTTCTTAAACCAAAAATCTTATCCCTGGTGGTGACTGTTTTCAGGAAAAGATAAAAAACAACTTTCATAAGAAGATTCTGGGTAACTTGCAGCCTACTTGCAGTCCCATCTGCTTTTCTATCAGGTGGGGGTTGGTTTAAATAATGAGACTCAATATGGGATATTTTTCCTTTTAGTTAGCATTAATTATTGTAACTTTAATAGTTCTTAAATCCATTTAAATAACTTTTTAGTCCCACTAGACTTTGGCCTCAAGTTAAATCCTTTGGCTGTCAATTACACAACCGATTACAAATTACCATTCCCATCACCACTATAGAGGTTTATTTTTAGTTAATTACACTCAATGTCTTTGGGCACCCCTTTGTTTCAGTGTTATGAAAATGGGAAAATAGAAATGTTTTTCTCTCTATTACATGGCTAATTATAACATACGCTTTTATCATGAAGTGCCTTCATTAATAATGCTTCCTTTAAACCATTCTCAAAGAGTTGCTAAAAAATGGATAGGATTTATAAGTTTCTTCTTAGACAGTCTATTCATGTAAACTCTGACTTCTCTTGTTATTTAAAACATCTCAGAAAACTCAGATGATTACAAACTGATAAAATCAGCATGTGTGTGACTGTGTGTATGCATGTGAATAGGCAGCTGCCATTTTTGCAGAAACTAATTTATTTTATCTTGCTATTGGAGTAATACATAAATACTTTCTATGCATACATTCAATTTAAAAAAATAATAATATTACCAGTTCTGATTTCAGCCTTGGGAACTCTTTTCCCTTAACAGAACTGTTCCATTTTACACTGCCATCTGTATTTTATACTGGCATTACCTACATATCTACATTTAGCTGCAGTTCATGCACAATAATGTATAGGAAAAAAGGTCTGTATCTGAATTATCATTTCAAAAAAGTTAAACTCCTCTGTTGTCTTCAAAAAAATACTGGTTTTTTGTATAAATTGGGTAGGTGAATATGCTTTTTTGAGCTCAATTTATTCTAAATGGAATTTGATGAATCCTAAATTTTGGGTACATTAAGTAATATATTTTTAAATAATGGTGTACCATTTTGAGACTAAGAAGCTGAAGATTATTGTTATATTATTCTTTAAAATATGCTGTTGGAGTATATTTCTATATTTTGAGACATAATAAACATGTAATAATGTTTTCCTCTGCTGTGGCTTTGCTTCTTAGACACGTGACAAAATGACATTTACTTGATGAATCTTTTTAAAAGGAAGAGCAGGAGATCATCAATGGTTATGGACAGATTTTGTTATAATTCATTTTTAGTACAGACATTTTGCAAAATTACTTTTATTTTGTTGCTTCTTAAACAGCAGATGGTGAACCATCTACACTACTAATAAAAATTAGTAATAAAAATCATATCTTCAAATCATACCTCCAAGTGCTAATACTCTACTCAAAATGCACTAGAAAGTAAAAATGGTTTTTAAAATTCCTAATAAACCCATAGCTGGACATTCCTCTGTTTGCAATAAAGGATACTGGCACCAAACTTTCTGCATGCTCTGGAGAAGTAAATGTAGGCATATTTTCATGTAAACTTATTCAGTTAAGCTCTTCTTCAGTAGTAACAACTAATGCAAGACTTTTTGTATTTTTTCTTCTTCCTATCAAATACCTGTTAATTAATATATATTTATGCATAATATATACACACTTATATTTAATACAATGTGTACATAATTATATGAAAATTTACCCTTATCTGTATCTATATCCATTTCTCTAGTTATGAAGACTATTCCATTATCATTTAGGGCACAAGAGCTTTGCTCTTTTTCAAGCTGTTTAATGTTTCAACATCCTTAACAACTGGAACCTCAAGTGCTGAAAAGCCAAAAAAACCCAGAATTAGTGTTATAAAGCTGTCTGGTAGCTGACAACATATAGCAATACATTGGATCAGTGCAAAGCCCACCTGGAGATATCTTGGAGAGTCGTTGGTGAGCATGTCTTCAAACAAAATGATGATCATACTTCGTTCAGCTGCACATCTATCTGAAAGGCTGTTCAGACTGGCACGTCCTCAACAATGCCATGACTCCTCCTTCTGCAGCAGGCTGTTTAGGTGAATATGCATTTGTGTGAGTGATTAGGTGGGTAGTGAGAATGAAGCCACATGAGGAGTTTGGCTAACTTTAGGAACAAGAAGCCAGGCCTTTCCTTGCTGCACATGAGAGTGCAGATGTTTGTTTTGCATACTGGGATGTATAAAACTATAAAACAGTACTTAGTCTTTACTTTATGATGTGAGTCAATTGTCAGGCCATTTGGGGCCTCATTTTGGTAAATAGCAGATCCATGAGTAGTGTGAGTTACACCTATGCTGTAGACACCTTAACTGCAACTCTCTTAGGGACCACATAGAAACGTTGCTTTTTTGGATAGCAATTCACCTATTTCTCTCCCAAGACTACAGAGTAGGTTTAGGACAGTGACTCTGTTTCAACCTTGTTTGAGCAACTGTAGCCAGTGACAATCCCTGACACCTTAAAAATAACATTACTTTGTTGAAAAAGTTTAACTCAGATATTTATTTTGTATGTGAAGCTTTGAGGAACCTTCTGTTATTGTGGTGGGATGTCACACTTTTGCTTTGAAATATAATTTTCTCTACCTTTTACTGGGAAAGGTTTGACTGCTGACTATGTACTTCATCTGTTTTGTTTTGGTTGGTTGTTTTTTGGGCTTTTCTGTCAATTCCTCTTTTGGAAAAGTTTCATGATAAATTGAATTTTACTCAAAGATTTTTAAAAAAATGGCTTAGGCTTGTACTCATAAGACTGAAGTGTTTCAGCAATAACCAAAACATTTTAATTACCAGGACCTTAAAATTATGTTATTTCCAGTCTCCTCTGCTGTTTTACTCACACATTCAGCTGTGTAAAAGGAGAATCTGACATGTGGTGCCTGAATGACAAAGCCACATGTGAATTATACAACATTATCTTTTACTATCTCATCTGAAGTCACAGAACTTGCAAAATGTGATTTACAATGTGTTACTGAATTCTTACTCACAGCAATTGAGCAAGACCTTGATTAAAAACAAAAGAAAACTAAACTAAAAATGCAACAAAAAACAGTGAGAGGAGGTTTTCTTGCTGTCTTAATTCAAATAAATCAGCATCAAATGTGGTACATGAGGGGTCGTGAATCTCTTGTGAATTAAATGGGCCTTTTGTATTCTGTTCTCCACATTTACAACACATGACACAGACACTTCTCCCAACTGCTATATTTCCAGCTAAATGCTTTCTGTTCTCTTCCTGTACATTTTTGCTTCCAATAGGCACCTCAATTATTCTTAATAATATGAATGAATATTTTCTTTGCTTTAGCAGATGTTAATGCTTTGCAATAGAAATATGTGTTATTAGTATTGCTAAACTTTACATGTACAGGAAAGTGGAGAGGCTTGACAAAGAGGAGAGAAGATGAGAGGCACTATAGGGAAGACAACTAGGCCTCCAGTGTCCCAGTGCTGTAAACCCTGTTGCACACTCTTGGCAAGTGATGCATACACTTGGCACTTCTGCCCATGCAGCTCATAACTTTAAGGAAAGATAGGCAGTCTTAGGGGTTACCTGGATGTATACTTTGCATTTACAAAATATTTTTCTATTTTCACCATTACTTGTGTACAGAATGTAGACCACACCTTTTCAATGTGGGAGTGGCTGTATTTAAAAGCTACTTCTAGGGAACCAACAAAGATTATCTTGCAGCAGATCTTGGAGCACCTTTTCAACAGGGTCATAAATCTGTATGGGTAGAGTTGAAGGCACTGTTACATCCCCTCCCTTTTCTTTCATTTTCCTCCTCCTCAGTGGGAAGTTCAGCAATGCATTAAGACTGGGACTGTGTTCATATCTGTGTAGCAGGGGTTCTCAGGCCAGATGTTGGCTGGAGATGTGAGAGCAACATATTTTCTAGGGAACAGCTCTCAGAGAATAATATTGAAGCAGAGATACGGAAGCAGATCTTCTCTGTAAAACTTGTCCTGGTCTCTTCTGGGTTTAAATCTGACTTATGAGCAGAAACACTTGTGAAAATGAGAGAGGTCTTTGACTAAATTGTGAGAAAACTTTGTGGGGGATCTTTCTGGCATCTCTGCCTCCATAAATTCTTTGACAGAGAAGTCCAGGCTTGAACCTGGAGCTACTCAACTTCAGAGAGACCAAAAGTTGGAAAAGACATGGGGGAGAAACACAGCACATATATCAAACTCCCTAAACTGATCTAATTGGAAAATAAAGCTTCTCATGCCCAGTTATTTTCTTGGTTGTTGAGCTGTTCTGCCACAAGAACGTGTGTTCCCTTTTATTTGGGCAAATTTTACATCCACTACTGGGATTCCTATCCAAAATTAGCGTTTCTCCCTTAACCTCTGCAATGGCTCTTTTCAGCCTTCTCAGCATGTTATCTGTTTTATTATTCAAGACTAACAGCTCCCACCAGGAGTGCTCTTTCCTAGGCTGTGCTGCAGGGACAGAACAAAGACAAGACCTGCCAAGTCAGTTACTTGTTTAACTGGGATGTGAAACTTTGAGAAAACTTTTTGCTTTTTTCTTTTTTTTTTTTTTTCATTTTTGCATGCATTTGGAATTTTCTTGGTTTGCTATCTTGGTATGAATTCTTGTGGATAAAAACACATAGGTAAGTGCATAGGGTTCCATGAAACCTGTCTGTGATAAGGATTTGTGCATTTAACAAGAAACAAAACTCCCTAATTGATTACATGTCTGAAAATTGAATTATATATAGCTAATTCTATTCCATGTAAATGAAAGAGCTTTTAGCAAACTACTGAGCCTGAAAACATTTCATGTTTTGAAATCTGCTAATTTAGTGAAAATTTAAGAGTTCTAATTAGAAGGACCTACATTGTGTACCTCAGGACATATAACCAAAGGCCAGATCAATATACTCAGATGTATTGGTGTACATACAAAATCTATCAAAATTAATAGTGCCCTGAAAATACCTGCAAACATATTTCTGATTCTTTCTGTTTACCCATATTGGACAGTGAGGTAATGGGAATGATATTCATGCCAGAATACAATTAACTTCCTAATTCTCAGATTTCT